ATTGTGTGACCCACTTAAGTAGATAGTGCTTTTTGAATAGAAAAGTTATTATTTACATTATTTCGAAGTTATTTAGAAATGACTTTGGAGACATCCTTTACGATTTTTAATCCATGTGGATTTCACCTTTTTGTTAAGAGAGGCAGTGGAGGGGAGATGAGAGGGCACTTTCTGTCATTCAGAAGTTGTCAGTTTGAGTCCGTACCACTGTGTGGCTTTGGGTGGTCATTTAACCTCTTTGGGTATTATTGGCCTTTTCTGTAAAATAAGACAAATAAGTCGTGTGCTGCCTTCCTCACCGACTGTCATGGGATAGTGCCAAGATATAAAAGTTACTTTAAAAAATTTAAATTTTCTCTACATACATTATGGCCAGTAGCACATTATGAGTAGGATGTAATTCATGACAATAGAAGAGAACTTTTCACTGCTCATAGAAGGGTCATATCTAGAATAATCCAAAGGAGAATATTTTTATAACTTTGCAGTGGGGATGGGTACTGTAAGTATGTTGCAAAGTCTAGAAGCCATAAAGAAAAGATTGATAAAATTCATTACCTGAAAGCAGTCAGCATAACGAAAGCCCAGAATGCAAAACAAAAGGCAGACTACAAACCGGAAAAACATATTTACACTTTATTTTATGTGTTAAGGATTAATTTCTCTAACCCATAAAGAACTCCTACAAATCAATAAAGAAAAGAACATAATTCTAGGAAAATGGTCAAAGGATATGAACAAACAATCTACATAAATAAATTCATGAAACTCATGAAAGATACTTGACCTTACACATAATTTTTAAAGTCTGAATTCAACTTCACTGAAATATACCATAGTTCACCTATCTGGGATTGACAAAGATAAAAAATTTTGAACATCCTCCATGTCCAGGAGATGTAGGAAAAGAGAACTCACACACATTTAGTGAATGTATATTAATTCCCTGCAGAGGGCACCTTGCCAATATCTGTCAGAGTTAATAATTCACATGGTTTTGCTTGACTCAGAAATTCTGCTTATAGAAGTTTATCCTTCAGATAAATTCACAGGTATTCACTGAGCAATGTTTTTAATAGCAACGAGTGTCTATCAATAGGGGCTGGTGAAATGAGTTATGCCGTATCTGCAAAGTGGAGTAGTATGCAGCCACGAAAAGAGGCCGAGGATGCTCTGTGGACGGCTGTGGAGCAGTCTACGTTGTAGATAAAGAATGAAGCATAGGAAGGACTGTATGTGGTGTTTCCATTTACAGAAAAGGGGGGGGTGCAAATCATAAATATGTGTAGATACTTGCATATGCATAAAATGTCTCTGGAAGGATAAAAAAAATGACTAGGAGTTAGG